TTTTTTTGGTTTTCCATTTTTTTTCCCTTCCTTTTGCCCGTAGGATGTGTGTCATCCTGGAAACGATGGTGCCCGACCCTCTTGCACCGGCCGGGTTTCCACTCGGACGTCCCCTCAATTGGTGGCGTGTTAACGGGTAAGCCTCACGGCCCATGTGTGGGCCAAGTACTAGTAGTTTTAAGTGTGACGGGTAGCTATGCTTACAGGGGTCCCGTGTGTAGGCTTAGGAGCAGTGGTAGGTAGATAGTGAAAGGTGAAATTCAAAGAAATATATAGCTTAGTTAAAAAATTAAAATAAAAAATAAATTATTTGTCGAATCTGTACAGGACGGCCTTTCAGTCCCTTTTTATTGTTCACAACCTATAGGGTTGCATTTATATACCTAAGTCATTGGGTCTCGCTCGACTACTATCAACATGTGCAAAACTAGAGTGAATATTCCGCTAGAACCTGGAAAGATACACCGCCATGTTTTATCGTTTCTGCATGTTGGGAGTAGTGGAGAGTGAATTTTTCGCTAGAACATGGAAAGATACACTGCCATGTTTTTTGACGTTTGTGCATGTTGAGAGTAGTGGAGTGAGGCTCATTTTCATCTTTGTTCGCAGCCTATATAGGGTTGCGTTTATACACCTCAGGCATTTTCGTCTCTAACCAGGCCGTAGGGTTACATTTATACGTGAATTATATTCATTCCCCATAAGTCTGACCCTCGGGACCTCTTCCCACCTTCGCCCTAACTTTTTTGGGATGGAGGAACACAACTAGTTTGACCTATGATAAGGCAATTGGGTTACTCACATTTACAACCATTAGAATACCTGCAATTGAAAAAAAAAAACAAAAAAAAAACACGTCATATGAGCAAGACCTCCTCATTGAGCATGCACACGGTTGTGGGTATGGCAAGTGAATTGCTATATACGAACACTTTTTTGACAAAGCTCTGGTCATGATTGCAGTCAAATTCATCCAGGTCCGGCCATAATCACAATCAAATGCATTATGAAAAATGCTTGTGTGAGTATGTCGTAAGACTTGTTGCAATTATGTGGCTTGGTCGAGCTCCATTCGTGCTAACAAAACACCAACCTGATAGCCAACTTACTCATGTTTGTTTATGGTTAATCAGCACATACACCGCACCAACGGGACCTAGCATTAGTACGAACAAGCATGATTTCTTAGCACGTGCATAGCGCATGATAGGCCTGGAAATAAACTAAAATTCGTCTATGTGCAAATTGTCATTAGGACGAATGGGCATTAATCTAGTCATTTAAGGCCGCTCGGGCTCAGTTCATAGCATAATGATAAACTACCATGTGCTAAATGCAATCTGCAAGCCCTACAAGTTACCTGCAATTTAGTGTATTGGGATGTAATTTCGTTTGCATGCGTGTATGTTTTATGCAGGCTAGTTGTTAAAGGCTTGATGCGATTTCTGGGATGTTTTTTTTATGCTTGTCGAGTGAAATGCACAAGCTACGTGTGAGAATTGTGAGAAGGACAACCTGATGCTGCATTGTCCTATCACCTGATTTATTCTCCATCTTGCTACACCCCTTCCGTTTATATTTATCTTGGACAGTGAAGGGAGTGTTAGGATCTTGTTTGTTTGTTTGTCTAGTCGGACGTTGGTCATGAACCTGAAATTTGAGGTCATTGTCCAGGGCATTCCAGGTTTCTGTCCAACACAAAAGGGTTCCCCCTATATGCTGGACAGTTACGCCTCGCCCATCGTCACGCTCTGCCTAAAGTCCAAAGACGTTATAAGAGATGGGCGGTTTATCCTTCGGTCGTTCGACTTCCTTAACGTCACTTTGTGTTCGACGCTTGAGTGTTATTGTCGGGGCAGAAACCCTGACAAGGGTATCTGGCCAGTATTTTCAAATGTTGGACAATGTCCGACTTCGACAAAAGTTGTCTAGGCTTCACGACTTGATGAGATTGAATTATCTGCCGAAAGTTTACTCGAACCCGACCTGTGACCGACAAACCTACCAAAACTTTATTGGATTTGCGTTTTGACCCTTGTCGACGTCCTGGAAAACAATGGAGCATGATTGACATTGTGACTGGTTGTGTTTCGTCTCGAGCGAAACCACTGGAGACGTGGTCGTTGGAATACCAAGTCTAACCTACTTTTCTTAATGGGCCGCTCCACGCTCCGCTCCGAGACAAATTAATTTTTGTAGAGTGCATTTTCTGGGCCAAGGTTTGTCATCGAATCTTCGTATGATGACAT